CAAGGGAAAAAAATTCATTGACAGTGTGTTGAATTCTAGTTTTTGGAATGAATGTGCTATTATTGTCCAACTCATAGAGCCTCTACGCGTGTTACGCCTTGTTGATAGTGATAATAGGCCTTCAATGGGCTACTTGTATATGACTATGCACAAAGCTAGGAAGGAGTTGTTGAAAAGATTTCAGAGAAAGAGAAAAAGAGTAGGTGTTTACTTGAAAATCATTGATAGTCGTTGGGATTGTCAACTTCATAAAAATCTTCATGTTGTTGGTTATTGGTTGAACCCAAGTAATCAATATAAGTCGGATGAGATGGCAAATCATCGACAAACGATTTCAGGGCTCTTGGATGTAATTGAGAGATATGCTTATGGAAATCCCAGTTTGAGTAGTAAGTTGACAAATGAGATAAAATTGTTCATAAATGCTGAAGGAAACTTTGGGCGAGTAACTGCTATAAGCGATCAAGAGAGAATGCTTCCCGGTATTTAAAATATTTAGTATTCTAATTCAAGTTATATACTTCACTTTTGTTGTTAACATTTGACAGTGATGCATTACATTATTAAATGTAGATGAGTGGTGGTTGTGCTATGGAAGTAGCACACCAAACTTACAAAAATTAGTCATTCGTGTCTTAAGCCAAACATGCAGTTCTTCCGGTTTTGAACGAAATTGGAGTGTATTTGAACACATCCATTCTAAGAAAAGAAATAGGTTGGAGCATCAAAGGCTTAATGACCTTGTTTATGTTCACTACAATTACAGATTGCAACAAAGGTACATAATTTTTATTAGCATTTTACTACAATTATGGTTAGTTTATTTACGTGTGTAATTTTCATCTTGTAAATGATGGTGTGTAGGAATTACTTGAGGGGTAGAAATTATGATCCTATTGACTTTGAAGATTTTACAAATAATGTCTCATGGATTTTAGAGGATGAGCTTCCAACTTTAACAATAGATGAATTAGATACTTTTCGTCATGAACTAGTTGTGTCCAATATCCAAACAAACCCGAATAATGGTAATTTATTCCTTCACAATTATTTATTTTAAATTAGTTTTTGATTAGTCAATAAATAATATTTGTTTGGATATAATGTAGATGAAACTTTGGTTTTTGACTTGGATGATGACGATGATGATCTTGTGGACCCTCGAAATGAGGAATGTAATGAGGGAGGTGCTGACAATGCAACTACAAGTAATGCTAAAAATTTTAATTGTACTAGAGTTGAGAATCCTCCTGAGTTTGGTATGGATTGGAGTTCATGGAGTAGGAGTGCTCATTGAGAAATGAGAATGAATATATATGTTTATTGCATTATTTTTATGACGGGCTTTTACTTTTGTGAACATTGTTATTTCATATTTGAGATTTTGTACTTGTAACTTATGGATTGTGGTATTGTATTTTTCATTTGTGTGTTTTATGTTTGTTTAAGATTGTGAATTTGTGAATTGTTTATTGCGGTAAGAGCATTATGAATTGTGATATTGAAATTGTGGCTTGTTGTGATTTTTATTAATCATTATGAAATATTTGTATTTTCAAGTGGAACTAGGCAATTGTTGGATAATTTATTTTCAGTTTCGTTTATTTGAGTCTTTATGCTATGCTCATGTTCTTTGTTTTGTTTTCCATGTGTCTTACAACTTGTTTACTATAGTTTGAGTATGAAGCTTGAACTTTAAAGAGTGCAAAATCAAATTACATGGATTATGCTTAGATTGATACGTTGACGAAGAGTTAGACTTAGACTTAGAGTTTTGAACTTCAATAGATGTATTTTTCTCTACTTAACTTTACAAGTTGTATTAAAAATGGAATACATTAAAATTGGATACATGTTTGATAACTTTTTTCTACTTAACTTTATATGTTTGATGTTATTTTTATAATTATTAGAATTTTTTAGCCTATTTATAATTATTTTTTAATTTTTTATTATATTACCGATTCGACTAGTGACCCAATGGTTGAACCAATTACCCATTAACCTGATCCCTTCACCGAATTGATGTCCGGGCCGAATTTTTAAACATTGCTCCTTGGGTACCATAGAGTTTCCCCGAGTGTATATATTATTGTTTGTGGCAGTTGGTATGTTGGCGTAACAACTTGGAACATCCCAATCCCATGTAGTGACAACAGGGCATGGATAGGCAACAATTATAACTAATATCAATTTTATATTATAAAATTATGTGTACCCAATCTTCAAAACAAACAAAATAAAATCTAGATCTATTTTGTTAAGGTGGGTTTGGTATCTAATTTGTCTCTAGTGTCAACCCCCTGGTTACAACTTACAACACGATCCTACTAAAGTTAGTAGCTAAGATTGAAATCTCACAATCGTAAGTCGGTACTCTCATCTTTTTTATATAGGTAAAATAGTGGAAAAATAATCTTCATGCCCAAAAAAATTGACATCCTATCTTCATTACCTTCATATGAAACGACTACCTCATATTACAAAGACGAGTATAAATATCAAAAGATATCTCATGATATATCATAACCTATTTTTCAGTGCCATATATGTAGCAAAAAATGTTATTTTGTCCATAGTTAAGGGGTTGAATTGAAGTGCGCTCCATCCAATTTTAAAATTCATAATAAATTTAACAACTAACTTAAGTATGTGAATTAAGTTCTGAAATTAACTTCATATTGCATTGCTCATATATAATTTCAATCATAGTGCAACAAAATATTGTAAGTTCATTAGATGACATAATGATGGACATGTCAAGCTAAGTTTGAATTTGAAATAAATCGATTTATATACATAATATAAAATACTAAAGTCTAGGTGTGTATTTTAGTCTATTGGATAGTCACTTTTATAACCTCTAGTTCCACTAATGTATGTTTTTTGTTGTCTAATGGTCAAGTGTGTTCGGGTTAACTTATGCATATTTCGATTGATTCTCTCTCTAATTCGATCAAATGTAAATCATCTACTCCGAGACTAGAGTATTCATAAGACAAAAATTTCTCATAAACTGACTTTAAAAAATTGTTAAAATTTGAATTTAAAATATTGAGTTTATAACACAATTCGCTAATGAATGTTGCCCTACACTTAGTAACCCTTATCTCCAAACTTCCATTCCACGGCTGCTTTTGACTAAATATCAACAATAACAGATCAACAAACATATTTAATTCTTAGAAATCGTCATTTGTTGAATGACAAACCTATAAACCACCATTAGTAGGTGAGTATATTTTTGGGTTATTAAATTGGAAAAAAAAAACTTTTATTCAAGTTGTCTCACATACCCTGTAAAACTATTAAGTATTTTTTTAACTTTTAACCACCCTATCTCACAATAATTTTCTTTAACTTCTCACCTTCTCTTCTCTTTTTAACATTTCATTCTCGTTTTCTCTTCTCTCTAACATTTTCTTCTCGTTTTCTCTTCTCTCTATAACAAATAGACAAAATAAACAAGTTATATTGCGGGTGGAATAAGAGGGTGAAATTAAAGGAATAGAATGAAATAGTGTTACAATGAAAAAAAATTATATATATCCTACATCACACGAGATCGATCGCCAATTAGTACTATTTGTTTGTTATCACAGATCATCATTATTTTCTTGGAGGCCTAACAAACATGGCAGCAATGCAACATCAAGTATTTAAGAGCAGGGTACGTTGGTTGCACTGATTTGTCTAGACACGTGGACAGATTGTTTTTCAAAACTCATGCAATGACGAGACAACGATAGCTCACAGTGGTTGAAAGTCAGCTTTCTCGGTTGAAGGCTTGAATTTAAAAAGCTGGCATTCATATCATTTCACTTGTACTTAAAACAAGAGCGTGCTCATAAATAAATAAATAATAAGTAGGTGCAGGGTTGTTTGGTCATTTAATTGTTACGTTGAAGTCTCCTAATACTAGGGTGTTCACCGTATCCCATAGATAAGAAATATAGTTTTTCGTTTTCTTATTCGATATTTTACGAAATAATTTTTTCTTGTCCTATTCAATCCGATCAAGTGTGGTATTCCTACTCGATTAATCGAGTATGAAATCGGGTAAACACTTTTATATCTATTAATTTTTGGATCATTTTAACAATTCAATTAAATAACATGCACCAATTTAACAACACAATAAATCAATAATACTAAAATCTAAAACAACTACAACAACAATTACAATAAAACATAAGAAAACATAAACATCAATCCATCATAATTGTTACACAAATATAATAACAATTATTTTAAATTTAAATCAAATAAAATACATTAAAATCATAACTCTTCTAATAGATTATTAGTTCACTACAAATCATGTAACCTACACAAAAAATAAGTTTATGTTTTAGCAACTCAAACATCCACAACAATAATAATGTTATAATATAAATTATACCACACAAATACTCTTATAATTACTAAAAAAATATAAAAAAATTAAATATATTTTTTTACAGATAGGGTAGGATAGGAATGCTAAAATTGATGGGTATTCCGTATTCTTACCTGATTTAATTAAAAAATCAAAAACTCTTTCGTATTTCTACCCAATGTTTACGATTATCCATTAAATAGGATAGAATAGAGTCAGGTAAGATAAAAAATTACTGTCAATCAAAAATTTGAACACCCATGTCTAAGACTTGTTTGAACGACGTCAATCTCGTGCACTATGCTATTTTTTGAAAAGTGACTGATCGGTTATGCTGTTGTCTAATTTACGTATATATATATATATATACTTCTGTAAATACATAACTGTCATTTTCTTACTCAATGAATACCAAAAATTTGGACACATGCACAAGAAAGCACAAGGTTTATGACAATCTAACTAGAACACCATGCCCTTAGTCATATATTCATTATTAAATTAAAACCTTGGACTAAATCCTGAATTATTGGTCTTGTCACCCAGCTGTCCTTTACCAACCAGTCTCCCTCTCTCTCTCTCTCTCTCTCTACATATATGTATATAGCTAGCATGGGTGCTGCAGGAAGAAAAAAACACAGTAGAAATGGAAAAGTTGCATTCTCTCTCTAACAGAATAACATGTCTCTCCCTCCTCTTCATCCTCAATCTTTTCTATCCTGCTAACGCAGAGTTTAATAGCTTAACAAGAATTCCATTTAGCAAAGGTTTCAGTCCTCTCTTTGGTGATGGAAACCTCATGCGTTCATCCGATGACAAAAGCGTCCGTCTTCTCCTCAGCCAATACACAGGCATGCACTTACTCATTCTCATCTCTCTCATATTCAAACTCTATCTTTCTATTCACACACAAGAATATACACATATGCGCTACCCTCTTTCTTTATCATTTCCCCATAAACACTTTTTGCTAATCAGAAATCATCTTATTTCACATAAATGATGTATAGATAAATATACAAAGACCCACACACACACACAAAAGATTGTTCAGTAAACGAGGCTCGCTCCACCGCAAGGTTTAAGAAGTGTCAAATGTATGCGGTCTTACTCAATATGCAGAGAGACTAGTTTTGCTATTTTGAACTCTTGATCCCCAAATTACAATAGAGCTAAGCTTATTTGTTGCGCTAAACCCACCCTCGCAAAATTCAAATACAATCTTCTTGTATGTAGATTTAGCATACCAATGCCTTAAGCCAGCCATATCTTCTAGTTGTTGATCAGAATGGAATTTGATGTGTGGGGTTTGGTTGGTTGCCTGAGGGCTGTCTAATCTGATCAACTGTGTAAGCCGTAAAGCTGTGACATGGAAATACACAAACAACAGAGATATAATTGTGCTCTTTCTAGGATTTTTTTCTTGTTTTTGACATGGTCACCTTTATCTTCCACAGGTTCTGGATTCAGGTCATCTGATCTCTACAACCATGGATTCTTCAGTGCTAAAATAAAATTACCATCAGAGTACACTGCTGGTATTGTCATGGCGTTTTATGTACGTAATCTAGCACCTATTTTCTTCTTCTAGTCCTTAATTTTCTCTACGATCACACCAAATTCTCTACCACCCATTTCTTAATTCTTTCTTTTTTCTTTATATGTGAATTGGTTTGGTAATCACAGACAACAAATGGAGATGTTTTTGAGAAGACACACGACGAATTGGACTTTGAGTTTCTGGGAAATATTAGAGGGAAAGCATGGAGGTTTCAGACTAATGTGTATGGAAATGGAAGCACAAGTAGAGGGAGAGAAGAGAGATACAGCCTCTGGTTTGACCCTTCCAAAGAGTTTCATCGTTATAGCATCCTATGGACCACCAAGAAAATTATGTGAGTTTTAATTTCACCTGCAGCTTCTTTGAAAGAGTCGATTGGTGTTAATTTTGAAATAATGAGAACTTCAATATGAGAAAAAAAGGTGAGGCCTCTTAGTTATAAGTTAACCCAATTGAAACTTGTACTAGCTAGCATACAAGAAAACTTTAGGATTAACTACTTAAATATGGCTCCAAAAAGTTTTCCGAAAACAAATAATTATTTTTGAAGTATACGTTTTGTATTAATTTGATTCTCACTCTTTCAACTTGGTCAACAATCTCTTGAGATTTTGGTTTCTATTTGGTCCAATCAAAAATCAATCTAAATTGATGAAACGGAAGGAAGGTTTCATCTGTGTTTCACGTTACTATAATGTAGAGATATTCGTTGAACATTTGAGAGATTGAAGTGACCAAATCAAAGGAATAAAAATCAAAGTAGCACGAATTGAAAACTTGAAGGACCAAGATGACCCTAGAATTATACTCACGTGAGATGTATATGACATTTTCTGCTAGTCAATTTAAATCATGATTTTGAATTCAACCAAAGTAAAACAAAGTGAAAACTTTAGGGACTAGTTGGGAAGCCTTTAGGACCTACTACTTTGATGTCTCAAAGTTCTAGTTTATTCGATTCACATGGTTTTTGGGTAATTGCGCTCGAAATTCGTATTATAACACACTTCAAAGGTAGACCTCACTATTTTTATTTTTTTTTTCATTTTTCTCTTATGCAGCTTTTATATAGATGAGATTCCAATTAGACAAATCATACACAACGATGAAATGGGAGGAGACTACCCATCAAAGCCTATGTCACTATATGCCACCATATGGGATGCTTCAGATTGGGCTACATCCGGTGGCAAATACAAAGTCAACTACAAGTATGCTCCTTTTGTAGCAGAATTCACAGACCTTGTCCTCCATGGCTGTGCAGTTGATCCTCTACAAGAAATTCCAAGCCCCGGCTGCTCTGAAAACGACGACGACTGGCCGGAAAACATTAACTATAGTACTCTCAAGCCTAGGCAGCTAGTGGCCATGAAGAAGTTCAGGCAGAAATACATGTACTATTCATATTGTTATGATACATTAAGGTACCCGATCCCGCCGCCGGAGTGTGAGGTTGATCCGTTGGAGAGGCAGCAGTTTAAAGAGACTGGAAGATTGAAGTTTGGTAAGAAACACCACCGCCGCCATGGAAAGAGAAGAAGCCAGGTTTTGAACCTTAGCAAAGATGAAGAACGGGATGATATATGATATTATGATGTGTTTGTCATGTATAGGAAATGTTATTTTTGGTTTGATTGTTTATGTGTGCATATGGGTATTTGTTTTACTAGCTAATATTGTGATTGAAAATGATCAACATTTATTTATTTAAAAAAAAATAAAAAAAATTTGATCAGCATTTCAGTATACAGTGAATGAACTTTATTATGTCCATTGGAGTGATCACTTTGTTAATCAAGTCTTAAGTGGATCGTGTTATGTTCTGTCGTGTTATTTTAAACTTATCTTAGTACTCAAGTTAAACTCGATTCAATTAAACAATAGTGTCATGTGTCTTGATACAAATCATACATATTTATCAAGTGTTTGAATCGATACATTTAATGTGAATTAGAACGAAAACTACAATCGCCTTTTTTTTGCTTGAAAAATGATAATTGGTTGAAATTTTAAACTTTTCGAATTAAAAATTGTGTCAAATCGAGTGTTATTGGTGTCATGTTAATTCTGTTTAGATAACATATTAATCAATTCTAATTCACCTCATTTATTTTTCGTGTAATGTTTGGGTTAACTCTTATAACCCATTAATCAAAAACTTCATACTAAAGCTCTATTATCTCTTAATCAAACCAACCCTCATAGTTTTTATATAAACTTAAAAAAATTAATTTGATACTTATAATACTACAAATACGTAAAAGTTGGACTGTGTCAATACTTGATAAGAAAAAGTAATAAAATATTAATATTTTATTCCTATAAAATTAGTAAAAAAATTAATCTTTTTTAATTTCAAATTATTCGAATTTGTCCCTAACCAACCTATTTATTATTCACATCAACAACTCATATTATTTTTAGGGTAACGTCGAGAAATAATCAATTATAACCCCCTAATTTCATGTCATTTTTTCTAAAATTGTCAATGATAAAAGAAAAAGAAGAGATTTTTCTACTTAAAAACAAAAAGAAAACTAACAGAAGTAATAAACTATAAAATCGAAAAGAGTAATACTGATGGTATCAATCAAATCTAAAGGTCCGTTTGTTTAACAAGATAATGTTAGAAAATGTAAGAAAGAAAAAATTTTAAAATTTTAAATGTGTTTGTTTAACATGAAATAAAAATGATAAAAAAAAATAATTTTTTTTCATACTTAGATTTTCTCACATCTAACTAATTTTTTTTTCTTACAAAAAATACAAGGAATAGTAAGAAAATTGTATTCAATAACCAAACTTTTCATTTTACCCTTATTTTTCTTAAAATATTTTTTTCGTACAAATTAGGCTAACCATATAATTTTGTCTTGAGATTATGATTTGAGTTGATTCTTGTCTCTGAATTAGGTTAAGAGCTAATTTCTTTTTAAATTTAAATAATAAAAAATATTTTTTTTTGTTTAAACCGTGTTAAAATAATAAAAGATAATTTAAACAACTAGAAAAAATTTCTTATAACTTTCATTTCTTTTAAACAATGAAATAAAATTATTTTAAAATTTTTTTAAAAGTTTTTCATACCAACCAACGCTTACATGATATTTTCTTTTATTTCCCTTCTATCTCTTTTGCTTTCTATCATTTGAGCTCTTGAACCGCCACCATCAACAATCTAACACCGCCGCCACCATCACCTGCGGCGGCGACATAATTTCTCTCTCCTTTTGCACCACAACAATCCAAAAACGATGACAGAATTCTTGGGACTTGGAATCCCAAGAAGCAAAACCGAAACTAATCTTCCTGATGAGCTGTTTCCTCAGTTTATCACAATTGAGTACGAGTCCCAAACTGAGAAATCAATTAACCCACCTGTGTTTTTTCTTTGTTAGTATTACCTGTTTGATTGAGGAGGAAATTGGGTATTTGAAGTCCGCATTCATGCAGGTTTGAAATTCATAGTTTATGTTTTTTGTGATTTGTTGATGTGCAAATATTTATGTTTCTGGAATTTCGAGATTTGGGTTTCTGGATTTAGCTTTGTAACGTGCATGAATTTGATAATTCATACAGTTTTTGCGATGTGTAACTATTTATGTTATTGGATTCCCGATGAATCAATGTGTAAAGGATTGTGCAATTGAAACGAATAAGTGATGAAAGATCTTTTTGGAATGTTTCGGAATTAAAATTCTCGTGTGTCTGTATTTTCTGGAGTTAGATTTTCAATGGATTTCTTTGTTTCCGTTCCGTTCCCGGATCATTTCAGTGTGTGAGCTGATCAAAACAATCCATCCCAACGCACTTCTGATCCTTGGTAGTACCATTAACCTCGTTTTTAGTACTACCTTATTTGAATTGATTGCCTTGGCTTTCTTCCCAAAAGCTTATTTCTAGAGGGCTGAAACCTAATGCTTAATGGTGAATCGGTGTATAGTCAACGAAAAATCTCACAAATGGTCATATACACGATAATCAGTTTTACTAATTGTTCCTTATCTTAACTATTGCTTTGTTGCCCTTTACAGTTAGTCAACAGTTGCAATCCCATCCCTTTGGTTTTGACTACTTGTCCACCTTCGACTTGCTTTTTTTAATTTTTTTAACTTTTATAATCAATGACATTATCGTTTCCTATCAAGAAAAAAAACAAAACAAAAATCATTGCACTCCATTCCCAACTCCGCCAGTGTTGTATTCAACACTGTCTGTCTCAAGCCAGGATAAAGGAGGAGGGTTGTGTTAGGTAGTCTATAGCCAGCGTAAAACTTTGTCGGATCTATTATGATGAGTCCAAACAATGATTTATGTGCTAATTCTAGGTCGTTCCCCATAAGTGACGCGTTGCACCTGCCTCAAGGCTTTTCAAAAAATTAATTAGGGGCATTGCGCCAGCCTTAGGGCATTTTAACAAATAAGTTAGGTGTGCCCACGAGGTTCTAAGTATCCGACTCGGCCGAGTCGTATCTGCCTTGGCCATCACTGATTCGATTCTACTACACGGTACGCAAATAACATGAGACCCATGTGAATCGGAGAGAGTATTTTAGAGTTTGCAATGACATATGACCTTGTAGTGGCAAACACCTTGTTTAAAAATGAGAAGAACATTTAAAAACCTTTAAGAACGAACCAAATAAAAGTCAAGTAGACTACTTCTTAAGTAGAAGAACAGATTGATTAGCATGTAAAGATTGTAAGGTTATCCTGGGAGAAAGCTTAACACCTCAACATAGGTTAACAATCCTACATTTATATATTAAAGAGCAACATAAAGTAAGGAGAAATATTAGAAAAACAAGAACGAGATGGTGAAATCTAAAAGATGAGAAATTAGTACTATTTAGGAGTAGAATGCTTAAAGAGGCTTTATGGAACCTAGAGGATGAGACTAACATTATGTGGAGTACGATGACGGATGACATTAGGAAAATTTCGAGAGAGGTTCTTGGAGAGTCAAAGGGTAGAGGGTTTGTGGAAAAAGAAATTTGGTGGTGAAATGACGACGTACAAGAGGTAGTTAAAACAAAGAAAGAATCCTTTAAGAGATGGTAAAATGATAGAAATAAAGAGAACTTCCAAAGATATAAATTAGCTAACAACGAGGTTAAAAAGATAGTTAGAGACGCTAAGTTAAAAGCCTACGACGAGTTGCACGAAAAAATAGATAGTAAAGAGGGAGAAAAAGACATCTACAAACTAACTAAAATTAGAGAAAGAAAAATAAGAGACTTTAACTAAGTTAAGTGCATCAAGGGCGATGATTCAAAGGTTTTAGTTAAAGATGAGGAAATAAATGATCGATGGAAAGACTATTTTGAGAAATTATGAAACGAAAATCACTTAAGAAACTCAGAAGAGATAGAAAATTGTAGGATCCAAGAAACCTTTTTTCGTAGAATAAAGAATTCGGAGGTAGAGTTTGCATTGAAAAAAATTAAATTAGGCAAGACTTTAAAACTGGATGAGATTCTAATTGAAGTTTGGAAGTGCTTAGGAAATGAGGGGTGTCGTGGTTAATAAAATTATTCAATAGAACTATTGCTACTAAGAAAATTTCTGATGAATGGAGAAAGAATAAAGGGGATATTCAAAATTGTAATAATTATAAAGAGATAGAATTGATGAGTCATACAATGAAATTATGGAAAATGATCATTGAACAGTGCCTAAGAATTGAGACTACAGTGTTGGAAAATCAGTTTGGATTTATACTGGGTAGATCAACTATGGAGGCTATTTATTTATTGAGGACACTCATTGAAAAGTATAGAGAGAAGAAAAATCTTCATATTGTATTTATAGACCTAGAAGAGGCGTATGATAAAATAACTAAAAATATAATATGAAGGGTGCTTGAGAGAAAATGAGTGATGAATAGGTATATTTAGGTGATAAAAGACATGTATAATGGGGTTATGACTACAATTAGGTCTTTCGTGAGAGAAAGTAAAGAATTTTTAATAACGGTGGGATTACACCAAGGATCGGCCCTAAGTCCATACCAATTCGCTCTAATTATAGATGAACTCACTAGGCACATTCAAGATGATGTCCTACGGTGTATGTTATTTGTAGATGATATTGTATTAGTAGATGAAACTCGAAAATGATTAACAATAAGTTAAAAATTTAGAGATAGACACTCAAGTCGAAAGAGTCTAAAATAAGTAGAAGTGAGACTAAATATATGTAATGCAATTTAGTAATAAAAGAAGTAGACATAGTGAAAAAGTTAAGATTAAAAATCAAGAAATACCAATGAGTAAACAATTGAGATATCTAAGATCGATCATTAAAAATGATGGAGAGATTGGAGATGATGTAACTTATAGAATCAACGTTAATTGGCTTAAGTGGAGGAAAACCTCTGGCATATTATGTGATAGGAGGATACCAATAAAATTAAAGGGTAAGTTTTATCGAACAACTATAAGGACAATAATGTTGTATGTGACAAAATGTTGGGCAATTAGGAAATAACATAGTGACAAAATAAGTGTAGAGAAAATGAGAATGTTAAGGTGGATGTATGAAAAAACTAAAAAGGATAGAATAAAAAATGACTGGATTAGAAAAATAGTAGGAGTAGCTTTAATTGATAATAAGTTAAGAGAAAATAGATTAAAATGGTTTGGTTATGTTCAACAGAGGTCAATAAAGGCACCGGTTCGAAAAA